TATGAGGATCCGATAAATATCCTGCAACGGCAAATCCAATTAATTCATGTCGAGAATTTTTCGAGTAATATAACCCGAGATCAATTGTTCGTTGGAGATAGCAAAAAATGTGTTTAATCTCATTCCAATGTCGTCGAGTAGGCGATGAGCTGAATCTTGCCAATAAGTTTACATCAAATGATATATCAGGGTGGGTGCTGTTAGCAAGATACATCAATGCGCTTATAGCACTCATATATGGCACTTCTGGGCCAAGTGTTTCTTCGTTTTCCTTTTTTGGTCTAAAAGGATCATTTATTGGATCGAGTGTTCTGACGATCATTGGGGTACTTAGCGAATGTGATTTATCCATAAGGAACTGTTTTAGTACCCTTTTGGTATAATTTGATTGGTGGATAAATGATTCATACCCGACATATATACCCAACCTTCTTTGAGGTCTCATTTTCATGCGTTGAGGTGGCGTAATTGAAATATAAACAGCACACCCAAAAATTCGCATGTGAGATATATTTGGTATTTTTCCAGAAACCAATTGAGTGGGGGAATAACAGTGATAACTGGTCGGCCTTATTTTCATGAGGGCTGCTGCATGCAATATAGCATGTCCCCAACATGATACGGGAAGTTTAGACCTCATTAACAATAGTCTGGCAATTAATTGCAATCTTTTGATAAGGGATTCAGCGAGGTCATTTTGCGTATGTACATGGGGACAAGATGTTCCACAGCAATCCCAATCGACATGCAGTAATCATCAAATATATGTGATAAATACTCTCCAGCATTATCTAGACGTATTTTCTTTATCGGGTGATTTCGATCGTGATCAATTCTTTGATTTTTGATTTGCCCACAGCCACGCACCGGATTTGCCGGTTGTATTGCATTTGCCTCTGCAAATGGATTTGCACCTGTCGGCCGAGATTCGTGATTTTTCAACAACAATTCATTATTTTGTTCGACCAGCAAAAAACAGGTGATCAACTCAGAATATTTCTGGAAGCCTCTTTCGCGATACTGCTGCTGCAAAACCATGTAAGAGACATGAAAAGTGGAGAAAGTTTTCTCCATCATATCAGATATAGATATATTTTCGCCACAGTGGCGCAGTTGTGATGTTATTCTAAACATTGCAGAATTATATTCTTGGACTGTTTTAAAGTCCTGAAGCCGTAGGCTTTGCCATTCGCTTTGTGCCCTTGGCAACAATGCTAGATCATATCTTTATTTCAATCTCTCTCACAATTCAAGTGGGGATTCCAGCGTGACATACTGCATTTTCAGTGCCTCATCGATGTGATGGCACAAAAAGATCATGGCATTTGCACGATCTTGGCTCGGGGAGTTTTTATCCCGGGCAATGGTATTTTCCAAGCCCATTGATGCCAGATGCATTTTAACATCGCGAGCTCATGCCATATAATTTTGGCCAGAAACGAGAAGAGGGAGAAATTCCTGTTTAGCAAGATTAGACATAATAAACAGATAAAATATAAAATATTACCTTGCGGAAAATAAAATATATAATCGTGCTGATAACGTGTTATAATATTATTATAGGATTAGCCAATAGAAATATTAATTATTCCTACCGCTAACCACTATTTTATATATTGTATAATATTATATATATTGTGTATATAAATATATGTAAATAGATATAATTGTGTGTATGCAATATGTAAATATAATATATATTAGATAACGTATGTATATATATATATTATCTTGGGTGTGCGCGTTAGTGTATATGTATATAATGATATAATAGTAATAATGATAAGGACAACAGAGTGAGAGCAAAAATGAGTGTGTTTATTTCATTTGATTAACAGACATATATATAGACAGATAACCTCAACAAGAAGAGGTAAGGAAAAACATACATATCTAATACGTAGTAGCATCGTGGGTGCTATGTATATAACAAAAAGATCATTTTTGTTTATAAAACTATTTTTTAAAATTTATTAGGGAAGACCCAATATTTTTATTTATATTTCTATTATAACAAATATATTAATGATATGTTTGTTTAGATTTTGTTGGGCAACTTTTTTTTTTTTACTCAAACACAATTTCTAATATATGTAATATATATTGTTCTCTAGCAAAAAATAATTAAAATTCAACATAAAAATATTATTTTTATATTTCAAATATTATTTTTTATATTTTACATAAAAAATATTTTAAATAAAAAATACTAAACCATAAATCCTTAGTGTTTTAATCAAGTTGTTGAAAATAGATAAAAATAAAAATATTGAGTAAATTATATGTGTAAGATACTATAAATTTAATTAGATTGATTTATATTTATTAAGTGTATTTAATATCAATAAATTTAAAAAGCATATCAAATGTTATAACACATACTAAGATAAAAATATATCAATTATTATAAGATAAAAATATATCAATTATTATAACATATAAAAGATATTAATTATACATAATATATATTTATTTATTGATATTCATGTTTAATATACCTATATAGTTTCTAAAAAAATTGAAATATATTTTGAATTTATCTTTAATCAAATATATATTCCATTATTTAAATTTATAACTAAACATCACACCATGTAATTTTTTCTAATATTTTATAAAATACACACGGTGTCAAACTTAAAGGGTTTAATCAACAATGGTTTGTTCATTCTGTCATTTCGGATATGTGTATTTTTATGTTATATACGAAGAATTATATTTACAATATAAAAATAATATTTTATTTTAAATTATTACTTTTTATTTTTTTTAACTAAAATTGTTAATGTGTGTATATTATATTTTTTAATAATAATATTTATGAAAACTTATTTCATCTGTAAATACTAAGTTAATAGACTCAATATTGCAATCTCTCTTGGTAACTAATAGAGCTGGCAAAAATTAATCACATTTGATAACTCGACTGAACTTGATTTGAAACAGTTGGATTTTGGTTTACTCAATTAATAATTGAGTCAAATTGTTTAACCCATTTGATTAAATGAGTAGGTTTAGGTAAAAACTTTCAATATAAAAATAACTCAGTATAACATTTTTAATTAATATCACTTTAAATTTAAATATATTTGTTGAGTATAATTTTTAATAAAATAAAATTAAATATTTAAATATAATTTCGAATTTGATATTTTGAGCATGAGACAACAAGTCTCTAAGCACCTTGCTAAAATAACTAAATAGATAAATAAAAGTGCAAAAAAAAGATGAAGTGGTGATCCCAATAAATTTCTTATAAAATTTTAATAGAGTTGAAGATGCCACTGGTAATATTTTAACTAGATGTCTTTCTGAAACCATTTTTAACGTCAATCATTTGGTTAACTGAATCGTGTGTTAACTACTAGTAATTTTGTTTCGTGGCCATTAATTTCAGGACAGTGGTTGGAATGTTCTCTGAATCATTTGGTATTCGGCCACTTTCTTCAACCCACCGACTTGCATTGAATTGGTGTTCTGTTTTCGGGGACCATGGCTATAGGGTGTTGTACGCCTTCATCTGACCCTCTCATTTTCGCTCACTTGGACGTTAACCTGTAGTTGGCTGGGTCAATTTCAGGTTACACTAATATTGAGCCTTTCTCCGGGTAGGTCATACTTAGAATTCAGAAATTAGGGTTTAACAATATAAATATAAAACTTTGAATTTAATATATATTTTTTCAATAAATTATGTTTGTGTTATGCATTATTGTGTGGTGTTTATTAATTCGACTTTTAAATATCAGTTTAATAATATGACTAAATATTTTTTGCTTTAATATATATTATGAATTTAACAATTTCATTAATAAAAATTGTAATTTTAAATTGAAATTTCAAAATTTTAAATTTAATCATATTACACAGATAAAATTCAACTTGCAAATATCAACCTATTAAATTTAGGTTCATATTACAAGTTTTCTAACTTGCTTATTGCTAATCCTATGTTGAATCTCATTTAACTTGATTATTTTGTCCGCCTTAGACTAGTAAATGACTAAGGCCGCGTGTGAGAAGTTTAAGGCCTAGCCTGTTCTATTTACTAAAAAAAAGTTAAGTTAAATTTTTTTTTTTAATTTTTTTCTATTTAAATAGAACATGCTTAGATTTTTTTTTTAAAAAAAAATTTAATTAACAAATCGGCACATTTATTATTATTATTATTTTTTATTAAAAAATATATTTTTATTATTATATATTATAAATAACTTTCTATATAATAATAATATACATTAAATAATTTTAATTATAATATAAAAAATAGAATTTTTTATCTTATATATATATATTAAATAATTGTATGTACTTTATTTTTGTTATTTCTAATTAAATTTAAAAATAAATAAAAATAAAATAAATAAAAATATTATATAGATCTTTTAGATAAACTTGTAAGCCGGACCAAACTTTTAAAAAGGTTAAGCTCAGGCTTTTAAAAAAAAATATTCAACCTATTTCCATCCCTAATATAGATAGTGTATGAATAGGGTATAGATATACCCAAGACCCTATATATATATATTAACGGACTTAAGACTCTAATGTATCTAAATTTGTATGTAGTCCGACTCTACGGTAATGTATCATCCAGACCTGTCGTATCCGCAGATCCACCAAATTCAAAAAATTTAGACCTATTTAAAAAAATATTTATTTATTTTTGATAAAATAAAATTAAAAAAATATATATACAATAAATATAAATCTTCAGTTTTGACGTCTGAACAGTTGCCGCCACCATCAACATTAAAAATAAAAGTAAAAATAGATATTAAAAATAAAAAAATTATTATTTTAATTAATTGAATCCTGATCTAGGTAGGATAGAATATGCTATTAAAGTGTAAACTCCGACCGAACCATCGAAGATTTATTAAAGATTATATTATATCCGACTCAATACTCAAATAATTGGACCATCCTCTAAATAAATGGGCAGAGTTCGAGCTTAAGTGTTCGGGTGTACTTTTAGCCATTATCATCCCTAGATGTGTTTTTATTTTTATAATAATTAAAATATAAGAGCAATTTTTTATTTACTTGAGAACCATAAAAAAGATTGATTTCGGGCATATCAAAATTTGACGGGGAAGACACCATACTTGACTCTGCTTAGGTTCAGGTGTGTGCTGTGCCGTGCAAAGTGCAATCTTGGGAGTATGATGGATGCTGTTCCAAGTGAAGGTCAAATCTAGTGTAATGCGACGTTCGCGTAATATCTGGAGTTCATTCCTTAAATTTATGGCTGACTATTAATTGTGTTGATAGTTGTTTGTGGAACATTTTGCGTTAGCATCTTTTATGCAATTGCTGGATTCATTTCATATTTGCTGGATGATATTCATTAGCATTGCAGGAGTTTTAGAAGTTCCTACCACCGAGCAATGAATACTAATTTTTCTGTTTAATTTATTTTATGAGAAATATGCAGATGCTGTTCGAGGTTAAGGTTGTTTCGAGTTGTTGATACTTGTACATAATGGCTAAAATTGTTCGCATATGTGATGGGATTGGGATGTTAATTAGGGTTGTACTGGGTTGAATTTGTTGTTAGATGTGAGTAATTGAAGACAGTGATTCAGCGACGATTAGGGCACTAGTTTATAGCTTGTTCTCAAATTGTGCAGTTTTTGATTTAGATCCACCAATTTATGGTGTTATTTGCTCATTAATATTTTTCATAGTTAACTTTCAACACTGTTCTTGATGTAAACAAGTTTTGGACTCTAGGAACAGATTATATGATTTATATACAGAATTTCTGTTGCGAATGATGTTTTTTTGGGTGGGAAAAACCTTTCTTTTACTGTATGTTACACAGTGGGGAAATGATGTTGAACTTACGTGTGAATAAAGATTTTTACTAATTACAGCTTGGTGTTTGTTCAAGTTTTACTCAAATTCAGATAGGGCTTGCATTTCTGAATACATGAAATATGTTTTTATGAGTACACTTGTGGTTAGGTAAACAAATTCTATTATATAGGTGAGTCAGGGCAATGGTGTCTCACATTGTTGGGTATCCTCGGATGGGGCCAAAGAGAGAGCTCAAATTTGCATTGGAGGCTTTCTGGGATGGAAAGAGTAGTGCCGAAGAGCTGCAGAAGGTTGGGGATAACCTCAAATTGAGTACTTGGAAGCAAATGGTTGATGCTGGAATCAAATTCATCCCGAGTAACACGTTCTCATACTATGACCATGTATTGGACACCACAGCCATGTTGGGTGCTATTCCTCCAAGATATGGTTGGAGTGGAGGTGACATAGGGTTTGATGTTTACTTTTCAATGGCTAGGGGTAATGCCTGCATTCCTGCAATGGAATTGACCAAGTGGTTTGATACTAACTAGTAAGTAATGGGTTCTCGTCGAACAGTTCATGCATTTTGAATAGAAGTAAACCTTATATGTTATTTGGATGCAGCCACTACATCGTACCTGAGCTGGAGCCGAATAGCAAATTCTTTTATGCATCTCGTAAGGCAGTGCAAGAATATAGAGAGGCTAAAGCTGTAAGTTTTGGGCTTTCTACTGTACTGCTATTTATTATAGACGGGTAGATTTAAAATTTCCTTCTTGCAAACAGGTAGAACTGTGGGACAGCTTGGTTATCCAATTTTGATTCCACACTTGGTATAACACCTATTAAGTTTCATTTGCATCATCCTGTCATAGTTAATTGTGTTGTAAAGTATGCTTATTGAAACAAGTTAAACGCATATTAAAGTCAAATATGAACATTTGTTTCAATTGAAAGAAGGCTAACAGTCCTTGTTTGACACCTATTTCGAAAGCTAGGTATTCTCATTCTTTGTGGGCCCCGCTAATTTTACAATTACTGTAGTCAACTACTCCTAACCAAGCTGATTCCCAAATAATGTCTTCACATTGGTCTTTTTGAACTATATTTCTTTCTATCAACATTTCTGTATGTATCACTCTATCTTATTCACAACGCATGAGTGATCTTTGTCAGAATATGCATTAACTCACTAACGATGTTTTTATTATCGTCATATATATTAGTTCAAGACTGCAGCTCATCTAATTCTTTGTACATTATATCATTGCAGCATGGCATTGACACAGTTCCAGTCCTCCTAGGCCCTGTTTCTTACTTGTTGCTATCCAAACCTGTAAAAGGAGTGGATAAATCATTTTCTCTTCTATCACTGTTAGATAAAATTCTTCCTGTCTACAAGTAAGATAAATGGACATGCGTTCTTACAGTTCTACTATGATGTGATGTTATATCTTGTGATACCTAAATAATTTATTGCTTGCTATGAAGGGAAATTGTAGACGAACTAATGGCAGCTGGTGTTTCGTGGATTCAGTTTGATGAACCTACCCTTGTAATGGATCTTGATTCTCGACAATTAAATGCATTTACTCATGCCTACACAGAACTAGAATCATCGATTTCTGGGTTGACCATTCTCCTTGAAACATATTTTGCTGATATTCCTGCTGATGCATACAAAACAATTACAGCTTTGAAGGGTGTCTCAGCTATTGGATTTGATTTAGTTCGAGGATCAAAAACATTGGATCTAATTAGGAATGGATTTCCACCAGAAAAATATCTGTTTGCTGGGGTTGTTGATGGCAGAAATATTTGGGCTAACGACCTTGAAGCTTCTCTCACTACTCTGAAGACTCTAAAGGGCATGGTTGGAGAAGGTAGTGTGTTCTTTCAGCATAATATTGTCTCAATGTTAAAAAAACAAAATAAAGTGTTCTTCATTAATATCTTGGTGGTAGAATAAATTGCAAGAGATGATCTTACTGAAAGGAATATAATCATCGAGGAATAAGTGAACTCTAACAATTTCTTGAAATTCAAATACTGCTAGTTTCCAAAGTTCTACAAGAACAGTAACAACTGTTGTTATTTTCTGTCAGACAAACTCGTGGTCTCTACATCATGTTCCCTTCTTCATACTGCATTTGACTTGGAAACAGAAATTAAAATGAACAAAGAGCTCAAGTCATGGCTTGCTTTTGCTGCTCAGAAGCTACTTGAAGTCAGCTCATTGGAGAAGGCATTAACTAATCTCAAGAATGAGGTACTTCTTACAGATATAAAAGCATGGTTATTTTAAAAACTCCTGTAATCTCAAAGCACAACAAAATATCTAGTACATCATCCAGGAACAATATTTGATTTTGTTAAGTGCATTGAATATTTTAGATGGAAGGTCAAGAAAATTGTCCTTTGGTAGAATTTAAGAGATCTGATAGTTCAAAATGTGTTCGTCTTGGAAATACATATCAAAAGGGTTAGTAATATTTTAGAAATTGATCTGCTGATGAAAAAATACATGGATTTATGCTTATTATTGCCACTTGGCCATTTGGATTTCTTAGCACAGGTCATAAACAAGATTATATTTTATTACTATAATTGTATCTAACTTGGTGCTATATTTTAAGTGTTGCAGATTATTGTGCCGGTCATTAACATTGCATTCAGGAAATGAATATTTAATCGTTCCCTCTTTTCAAAATTTATTAACTTATCTGAAATTTTGGAATTGTTTGAGCTTGAAAATTGTTCCATGTATGTTTTGAGGCTGCTGGACAGTAGTTTCCCATGGGAATCTTAATTATGTGGATCAGTGACGGAACTAGCTTTGCGGCTCCGGGGGGCAAAATTGTTATGTTTATTTGTTTCATTTTTTTTTTTATCGTTTATTTTTAGTTTCAATTTATTTTGAGCCTGTTTTTTTATTTGAAACAGACATTCGGCTGTTTCCGTGTGTATAAAAAATAATATAAGAACTTTCTCTTCGACTCATTTATACCAACTTGATGTCATCTTAACTTTTTTATTTTTTTTTAATACTATAATGTGGTTGTGAAGAAGAAGAAATAAACGGAAACAATATTTAAGATAAAATATTTTATTTTTTATGTAATAAATATATAAATAAAAATATCATATATTATTATAAATTAAAACAATAATAATATGGAGGTTTATGTAGAATATTAATCATAAATTGGGGGGACAAATTTGATTACTAAATAAAAAATTAGAAAAAATTACACTTAAAAAAAAAATTGAAAAGGGCTTGGAGGGTCTGTTGACCCCCCAAGCCCTAATGTAGATCCGTCACTGATCTGGATGACTGCTGATTTATCCCTATGTAATCATCTGGATGTCTGCAACATTTGAGTCAGAAATCATGAACTTCATTTTAAATCAGGTTCGTTTATTTATGCTGATTTCTCTCTACTCAGGCATTCTTCTCTGCTAACGCTGCAGCTCAGGCTTCAAGAAAGGCATCCTCTAGAGTAACTAATGCAGCTGTTCAGGAGGCTGTATGTGTTTTATATATGTGTATCTATATATATATATTGTTGGCTTAATGCCGTTTCCATTCTCTGTAATTGCATTTTTTTTTCTCAATTATCCAAACCATGATTGTGGCTTCTATTGAAATACTCAGGTCTCTTTGTTAAGGGGTTCTGACCACCGTAGGGCCACGAATGTCTCTGACAGGTTGGAAGCTCAGCAGAGGAAGCTAAAGCTTCCTATTCTCCCAACAACTGCTCTTGGATCATTCCCCCAAACTCTGGGACTTCGAAAATTGCGCCGTGAATACAAGATTAACAAGTGATTCCAATCCTGTTCATCTTTTACTTGTCTTCCAATTTCAAATTTGCTTTAATAAAATATACTCCTTCCATCATTCAAATTTATGCTCACTTTTTTTTTTAGGGTGTCATTGAAAAATATTCTCATTTCCTTTATAAGTAAAAAATCATTCCATTTTTGTACAGTTTTTTACTATAAAAGGAAAAATTAACAATTATTACTTATTTTTATTAAAACTCGTGCCCGGTCAAATGAGCACACATTTGCATGGCGGAGGGAGTATTATTTTGATTAATTGAGGATAATTCTTGTAGAATATCTGAGGAAGACTATGTGAAGGCCATTAAGGAGGAAATAAACCAAGTGGTTAAACTTCAGGAAGAGCTGGATCTTGATGTTCTTGTCCATGGAGAACCAGAGGTAAGAACGTTCTAATTTTCATAAGTATTACAAAGAAAAAATAACAAATATATGATTCTTGTTTGCAATTCATGGCCAAGAGCAGAGGAATGATATGGTTGAGTATTTTGGGGAGCAATTATCTGGTTTTGCCTTCAGTGAGAATGGATGGATTCAGTCTTATGGATCTAGATGTGTGAAGCCACCAATTATATATGGTGATGTTAGTCGTCCCAAAGCAATGACAGTGTTCTGGTCTTCCCTGGCTGAGAGCATGACAAAACGTCCAATGAAGGGAATGCTTACCGGTCCCATCACCCTTTTGAATTGGTCTTTCGTCAGAAATGACCAACCAAGGTTTGCAAAACAAATCGCTTCCTGGTAGCCATTTTTAAACCTGAAGTAATGCCTTCTTTCTTATAAATAGATTTGATACCTGCTATCAAATTGCCTTGGCGATCAAGGATGAGGTGGAAGATCTTGAAAAGGTTGGAATTAACATTATCCAAATTGATGAGCCAGCTTTGAGAGAGGGTTTGCCCATCAGGAAGTCTGAGCAAGCATTTTACTTGGAATGGGCTGTGCACTCTTTCAGAATAACTAATTGTTGTGTTCAAGACACCACCCAGGTTCTTCTTCATTCCTGTATTTCCACCCTTGCCCTTTTTAGTTACCCTGCTTTACTTAGTTTCTATCTGGACATGCCTTTACCGAAGAGTCCATTGTCTAGTTTTAATTAGTTGCTTCATTTTTGTTCCTTTTTAGGCTTTCAAATTGGGTAAAAATGAAAATCCATGTAAAATATGACTAGTTTTTGTAGAAAATATGGGAAATTAGGTGTATATTAGTGTAGAAAATCTGTGTATAAGGTTTTTCCTTTTTTTTTTTTTTCTAGTTAGAGCAGGACTCTCAAACCCTAACCCTACTCTGCCACCACAAGTTAATCAACATCAGCTCCCTCCCAGCCATCGAAAGATTTGGGAAGTTGTTCATGAGACGGACTCCAACAGTGAAACACTTTGGAACTATTTCATGTTGAGAGCATACTACATGATTTAAAATAGGGGAAGGTCCGGTCACCACATACTCCAATCTCACTCAACAATGGCAACAAATTGAGTTATTTGAGTCTCAAGTTTCGAAAGATTATAGAGACAAAAAGTATTCAAATTCTCCTTATGTGTTGGATAAATCTCTTGATGAAGTTACGGTAGAATTTTGGCCACCAAACCACTTCCAAGCCTGCGAGAAGCATTTTCAGAAGTTTGAAGGGGGAAAGTCGAAGGAGAGTAATGTTTGGGCAACAGGAATCACCCACCCTTACAGACGGATCTGCTTTTCTTGTTTCTGAAGAGAAAACCCATCTCGAGCATATTTTCTCATGGTTCAACCACCAATGAAAATCGATCTAGGACAGGTAGACCGTGGTGTGATCACTGCCGCAAGCCGGGGCACATTAAAGATAGATGCTGTAAACTCCATGGTAAGCCAGCAGAATGGAAGCCAAGTCGAGGCGGATGCAGCGCCGGCACAGGCGGAATGGACAGCTGTTAAGCAGGCAGATGTCCGCTACAAGGCAGAACCTACGGATCCTGGTGGACATCCGCTACAAGGCAGAACCTACGGATCCTGGTGGAAGTCACAATGATCTACCACAGAGGGAGTTGCGGAGTTACCCGCGGATCAAACGGGAATGCGGCCCAAATGCATTTCAGCAAAGGACATCATGCACGGCGGAGTCGCCAGAAGGATCAGCAACTTACCTAAAGAGCGGTCGGATGATCTGCTAGGGGATGCACTCCTGGAGAAAGATAACGAGTCCGAGGCTAGCTTCATGGTCATAGTGACTGATGAAGACTTGGAGAGAGCCATAAGGTACCACAAAGATTTTGCCGTCAACATGATCAGAGTTATGCCAAAAGAGTTCATTGCATCTTTGGCTCAGGCCACAAGTTTTGTAGGGGATGTCATGGTGAAATATGCCCATAGCTGTGAGGCATGCCAATGACATGGTCTAATCCGGCGGATTTCAGTAGAAGAGTTGCATTCTATTGTATAGCTATGGTCTTTCCGAAGTTGGGCTATGAATATCATTGGAAAGATCTATCAGCCATCGTCAAAGGGTCATTCATTCATCTTAGTAGTTAGATTATCTTACAAAGTGGGTGGAAGCAATGCCATTGCCATGAAGATTAAAGTGCCATCTTTGCGGATACTCAAACAAAATCAACTTTCAATGGAGGAAAATAACGTTGTTTTATTGCAAAAGTTGGATTCTCAGCCTAAAAGACTTCAAATTTTAGAACATATCCGAATGAGGAAGAAGCAGATTGAGGCGGAATTCAACAAACATGTGCGGCCAATGTCCTTTCAAGAAGGAGATTTATTACTGAAGGTTATTATGTCAGAATATGCAAAAGATGTTTGACTTGGGAAATGGTCACCCAATTGAGAAATGTCATACATAATTTCGGCCGAATTGTTAAATGATGCGGAATCCAATGTGGGGGCACAAAAGCTATTTCCTCGAATTCAAAAGTGCCAGAAAAGTGCTAGCATAAGTCCGCAAGAATAGGGAAGAAGTCTTGCTCTGAAAAAGTTTTCTTTGCCTTCTGTTCCATTGCCATAGATAATTCGATAAGGAACTTCTTGGAGGAAACATTATAATAATATTCGGATGTTCTTAGATGCTCAATCCATCAAAATATTTTTGTGGGGGCATTATGTTGGACCCAAAAATATGTGAATTGGAATAAAAGCCCAAAGAGAAGAAGAGCCCCGGTTCGATGGAAGCCCAAGTAAAGAGGTGAGCCCATATTGGTTGAGCCCAGAGGAGATGACATTGGCCGAGGAGGTTGGGCCTATCGTGTGGAAGAAAAACCTGCAGCTAGTGGAAATTATGAATGGAGAAAGTGGATGGTGAGTTGACACGGTTACCTTGGGAGTTACTAACCGATGCTAGGTGATGAATTGGAGATTGAATGACCATTTAAAGAGCTTAGGGGTTATCAAGTGATAGTCTACTCAATGATCATGGTAGTTTTGATAGTTACCAAATGATGGGGGAGCTCAAGGAGTTGATCATCGAAGAAGACATGGGAGTTACCATGCTTTGATGAAGGGAGTTACGTGCCATAAATGAAGTAGAATTGTGGCCTCTTGAAACTATAAAAGGTGAAGATCAGAGACAAAGAAGGCGTCCCCGACCAACACAACACAATGTCCAGGCTTTTATCTTTACTTTATTTTTAATTCTTGTATTTTACTTTCATTGTCCTTTATCTTATCCGCAAGTTTATTGGCTTTCTTTCCCGCTGTTAAGTTAATCTCAAACCTAAACATCTATTTTTGGCATAGTGACAAAACCACTTTATGCTTCTGTGGTCGTTGGCTTTAAAAAACAGCAATTCTGATCTTGCTGGTTAAGTTCAATCATGCAGCCCTTGTGTCCCTTCAAGTTTGGTGGCTGCTCAAAGACAAAATGGACATCTCGAATTTGTCTTTTTCTGATCAGAACTGATTTGATACAACACCATTCCTTGGTTGGATCAAAGGGAATTTAATGCATGTCATTTCATGGCTGCTGTGGTTGTGTTTTACATTGCTTAGAGATTTGTGGGAAGTAGATAGAGAGTGATTTTGAGAGATTGGGTAGTAAGAGAATTATTGTGTTTATTCTCTCAACCACTTCCCTTCCACCTCTATGTACTAAGTGAGTGTTTTACACTGTATTCTTGCCGGAGAAACTTGGAGATTGAAGGAAGATCGGAGTTGCAATCAGGGGAACATTCGAACTCTGTGCAGCCCAGCTATATGTCAGTTGTTAGTACGCGTTTGTAACAACTTATGCCTGTGGAGGGAATTTCCTATGTAATTAATGTGTAGTTTGGGTTGGTGGAGGTTTGAGTGGTTTGTTATTAATCAACACTGATTAATGGACATCTCTTGGATTGGTATCCTCCGGATGTAGGATGGTTTATATCCGAACCGGGTGTAAACAAATATCTTGTCATTTATTGTGTTGAAATCCTTTCATTTATTTCATTGACAAGTCGGTGTTATAACTGTGATATAACTACGCTTCGGGAGTTGGCCCAAATTGGATAAGTGTACGAGAATCTATTGGAGTAGCACTTATTTCCATCCCAACACCCGCTTTCTTTCTGATTTCACATGTATTTTTAGCCTTCCTTTCCAGGTTTAATGCAATTACATTTTTAAAGTCCTTTTACTTCTTATTCTATTCGGCGGATTTTCAGCTAGCCTATTTTTCGCAAACACAAAATATTCACTTAGGAGCTTTCAGGAGTGCCCAGGAGACCTTTATCCATTTTTTGACTGGTTTTATCAAGCCGCCGCGAGATTAAGAATATCCAAATTTACAATAGTAGCGGTGAAAATTTTTGTGAAGGCTTGTACCTACTTCCTCATCACTCATCATCAAACCCATCTCGTGTCAAGTTTAAAAGTTAGTTTCCGAGTATGTCATTACTATCTAGTAAGGTGGCACTAGGGGGTGAACATTCAGATTTTCGAATCGGCTTGGATTTTGCCAAATCCAAAGCGATCTAAAAATTCGAATTTTTGGCAAAAATCAATCCGAACTGATCTGGAATAATTGAAATCCGAACCGAAAAATCATTGTATTTTTTTAAAATTTTTTTAAATTTTTATAATTTTTTTATAATATTAAATATATATAATAAGTAAAAATTAGCATATTAAAATATAATTAATAATTTTTAGTTCTTATTTTTATAAAAACATTAAGGCAAAATTGTCCATAACTCCCTTGTGGTTTCGAAACTCAGCGTGAATTCCCCCTCTACTTTAAAAATTGTATGACGTCCCCTTATACTTTAAAAAATATTGTATGAAACCACTTTGTGGTTTCGAAACTCAGCATAAATCCCCATTTTACTTTAAAAAATTGCACGACGCTCACTTATACTTTAAAAAATATTGCATAAAACCCCCTGCCATGCAAAACATATAGATAGGAAATCATCTTCTTATCACATGAGGAAAGTTTCATGGTGGTAGGGTTTCATGCAACGGTTTTTAAAGTATAAGGGGGTATCATGCAATTTTTAAAGTACAGGGAGATTTTACGCTGAATTTCGAAACCACAGGGGAGTTATAAGCAATTTTACCAAATATTAAATATATAATAATAAAATATATTAAAATATTATATTTTGGATTGGTTCGAATTATTAGTATACCGATTCGAATCGATCCAAAAATCCGAAATTTATAAAATATTCAATCCATACCAATTCAAAAATTTGAACCAAATTTCAAAATTCGGTTTGGTTCGGATCGGAGTTTCGGATTTCGAGTATTTTGCTTACCCTATGTGGCACTCCCTATGTGGCACTATCATGAAAATTTTTCCATCATAATTCCTTCATAAAATTTGAAAGATTCTCATTGTGATATTTGTCAATTGTCGTAACACACTAGCAATTCATACCCACCATAACCATATAATTCTTCCTGTCCTTTTTCCTTATACACAGTGATAAATAGGGGCCTTCACGAGTTCCAAATATTATTGGGCAAAATGGTTTTTTGTTCGTTGAACATCAAACCCTATTAAGATAGATTATTTGCAAAGGAACTTCTC